TGAGTTTCCCAAACCTTAAGGTTAGGAGATAGGTGTGTCCTCGGAAATCCGGCTTTCTAGGCCGAACCAAGCAAAAGTAAGAATTCACTTAGATCCAAACATTTAGAAGACATGTTGGGCTATATATGTATGAAAAAAATCGGTATATCATTACGTGAGGTTCCAGAGATATGAAGAGGTTTTCCAAAGATCCGCTGAAAAACCTATCTTCGAAATTTTTTCGAGATAAATTAAAATAAATAATTCCACATCTTCTCGCTTTGGCATCATTTTATTCAATTGCCATGCTTCGATATGTTTCTTTGAACGTAGTTGATTAAGTAAATGAACGACTTTATCATATGCTATCGGTGATGGATTCGTTTCTAGTTCCATATAAGCACCAGTTTTTTGTCGATAACCTTCAGCTTTCTGTTCATAATCATTTTTGTGACCGATACGAAAAATACCACTCTTATCTATCACACGAAGAAGTTTTTCCTTCTTCACTCGATATCGAATGAATTTGACTAGATTGAGTTCTTTTCGAGTACGATATGCATTCAAATAAGACACTAGAGCCATATATTGTTGACGCAAACATGTGTGAAGTTTTGAGAAAACTGTTTGATTATTGGTGATGTATGAGCCATTGCATGTAAGCGACGACCGGAATACAAATAACCTGCTCAACCGAGGTTCTCAGATTTTGATGAATTTTTTATATGTGATAGAGGAAAGAGTTTGATGGATTTTGACGCAAGCAGATTTGAAAAATATTGAATCTTGGGTATTTTATAAGGGTTTTACGAAAAACTCAAAAAATCGAAAATTGGGTATACAAGTGGGACTATATCTGACGAATGGCTAGATAGATTGAGCTGAAATTTTGTACAGATATATCTTAGTATTTTACACTTACGATAAAATTTTCGTCCCAAAGTAATAAGCCGTTGGGTTTCTGTAGTCCATTCAAGATTTGCAAAAATCCAGATTTTTAGCAAGTTTCAACCCTTATAACTTTTGATCGAAATAAGATAGAGCATTGAAACTTTTAGTGTTGATAGAATACTAAGAGATGTATCCCTTCTAAAAATTTCAGCCTTCTAGGCCGTCTGGTCTCTCCGCGAAACTCGTGTGAAAGAACGGTTTTTGAAAAAAAGGATTTTTCATGATCGATTTTCTCCCAAGATATGGGCCAATTTGGGAGCTGGTTTTCATAACTTGAAAGTACTATGCCTAGGCTACGAACCCATAAAAAAATCAGCCTGGGATCTCTAAGAACGGCTTAGGGGAGAGATCATCTTTTGGAGGCCTTTTACAGGTAGGTATTCGACGTATATGTTTTGCCATTCAATTCCCGTCTTTTTTCACTTGAATCTAGGTAATTTTTGATGGAGAACACGATACTACTATTCTTTTCTCTCTATTTGAAACTATTTATATTGAAAAAAGTAAAAATATTGAACTTGTTGTTGTTGAACATTTGAACATTTCATATGAAACAACATATTTTATTTAAAACTTTTTCATTAAAAAATTAAAATAAAACTGTTGAGATTTAGTTGAATACTTGAGCATCCGATATGTAACAATGTAGCCCATTTTGAAGAACGTTAAAAAATAATAATCTGTATTGTTCTTTTTTATGGCATGAAATACCTTTCTAAGCAATGAATATTCTTTTGTTCTGTTTAATACTATCGTGTTTACATAATGATGGTATTTCTTTTTATATCTCCTTCTCTACTTATATTTGTATCGGCGGTCGCTTTCATTTATATTTTCAGGATGAATTTTCATAATAGAAGAAAGAAGCGGCGCACGTGTAATATCCATATTCAAGATTTCCCATATTTGGATGGTCGTAAGCAAAATAAATCTAGTTTACTATTGTTATATGTTTGCTTTCAGTGGCCTCGTTTCTGAATGAAAATTGTAGTGCTGGTAGAGAAAAATGTAGCATAAGCCCTAAATCATAATTGTCTTAAACTTGGAGTACACTGAAGAAGAGTCTTAATCTCATCAAATCCAATCATATCATGCAATTCTAACTTTAATATCAGACAGTGACGTAATTCTATTGTGATCGGATCTACGCTACCTGTCGTAGGCCGTACTTTATCTTCTACTGAACGGACAGAAGGAAAGAGAACTTCTAATGATTCGAGACATTTTAATTGTGAAAGTCGCGAAAGACACTCCAATTGAATAATGATGTGATCAGTGAAATCTATCAACTTTAACGAACGTAATTGGGTGAACATGTTCAACAATGAATAAAGTGATCATCTTCCAGCGCTTGCTATTTGACAAGAACCAATATTTTATGCACTGTATAGTCGCCAGGACTCTGTTATACTTAATATAACAGCAACATTGGCTGATAAAACCTGTTGTACACATACAAAAAACACTTAAATGCTGTGTTCGAACGTAAGTGGTTTATATAATTACACTACTTGATTGTAATATCAAACTCTTTATTTCCTTATGAAAAATGCAAAACAATGTTTTGTAAAATCCATTTTTTCTTTAGTTTTGCACTTTTCACAAGAAAGAAAAGACTTTCGTCATTCGAGCGTAGAGAATTCAATTCTAATTCTCTACATTTTATTGCCTTGATGCAACCATGAAGGACTCTTTCTTTTCATTTCAAAATATAGGTTTTAGCTTTTCCCGCAATGTGCGACATCTATATTGATGGCGCTATAACACAAAATTTGGAGAATTTGATTCTGTACATTTTGGTCTGTAGACTCAACTTTTAGAAAGGCTTCTGGTATAAGCTGCAAACAATATTTGCAAATTTTTTAAAATACCTCAACCTGACTGAATTCAAGCCGACTCGAACCCAAAACAACTCGAAATCGGCCTGACCGACTTGGTGCATACCTAGTCGCCGTCATAATTTGTGGTTAAGGAATAGAGAACCTGTTTTTGTAATGCTTGAAGACTTTGTTCTCAACGATAGTAAATAACACGTGTGCATAAAAGTCCAAAGGCCGAAACAAAGGGAGTTTCTTGCATACCACACAGAAAAAGAAAAAAAACTCTCCTTTCTACTGTTACACAAGTAAAACGGAGAATGAGTTATGCTCTTGCACAAGAGAAATAAAAGTGCATAAGTTTACAAAAGCTGATAACACCTAGTAAAAACGACATTCACTTGCTCATTCTGTGTTGTTATCTTTTAACTTACATCGACAATCAACATGCCTGACACATTTCGAACGGTTATTGAATCTCTACCCAACGAACTGTGGAGAGATATTTTCGAGCATTTCACAGCAAACGATTTGTTCTATACATTTCATCGATTGAATTCGAGGATTAATAGCGTTCTGTTTGAATCATCAGATCTCTGCTTGAAACTGCAAATTGAAGACGACTATGCGATTATACCATCTATTACTACCCTTTCAAATGTCAAAGTACTGACGCTGAAGTATGGCTACGTACAACAACAACACTACTTCTCACTCTATTCATTGTTGAACATGTTCACCCAATTACGTTCGTTAAAGTTGATAGATTTCACTGATCACATCATTATTCAATTGGAGTGTCTTTCGCGACTTTCACAATTAAAATGTCTCGAATCATTAGAAGTTCTCTTTCCTTCTGTCCGTTCAGTAGAAGATAAAGTACGGCCTACGACAGGTAGCGTAGATCCGATCACAATAGAATTACGTCACTGTCTGATATTAAAGTTAGAATTGCATGATATGATTGGATTTGATGAGATTAAGACTCTTCTTCAGTGTACTCCAAGTTTAAGACAATTAAGAATTTCAAGTTTGAATACGTCTTTGGCACAAAACGGAGGACAATGGCAAATGTTCTGTACAGAATTGGTGAGATTTGAATTAAAAATTCGATTCAGAAGTCGCAATGCCTATCGATCAATAAATCGTAGTACATTTGAAACAGAATTCTGGAAAAAACGAAATACAATCGTCAAGTACGAGGGAATTCCTTATACGGCGTTCATTGTCACGTTTAATTTGAAGGTAAGTTTAGGTGTTGCTTTTAACTGAGTCTCTAGAAACTGAATATACTATCGAAGTTTACCAGGAACGTAAAGGTTAAACAAGCTGTGCGCATCCTGTTTTAATTGCCAAAACGCTCTCTGAGCGACTGTGCCATACTTTGGCTCACCTTTGTTTCTCTTTTATACTTGTTTTAGAACATATCAACACCAACACCATTTCGGGCGGCGGCTCGGCCTATGTCTTTCTGCTAAAGCGTGCATCAAGATATACTCACATGCAGTAGATTATACGCGACAACAGCGATGATGCAGGAAGCAAACGACGTTTTCACGTGATTAACTTAAGAGCTCTCCCTCCTCAGAAATGTTGATTTTTGGTCAAAAAATCGATTCTGAGATACGCACATGGAAAGAAACCCTGAAGTGACTTCCAGAATCTGAATTACTTTGGTTACAAAATTGGTTTTTCGGGGATTCAGAGCAAGTTTTCTGAGAGTCTCGAAAAATGGGCCCTCAGATAATGGTATTTTCCTGGATACTTTTTGGACTTAAAATTTTTCTGAAAACACAGCTTTCTAGAGCAAACGTTGCTGATTAAAATAAGATCGCGCACAACTCTGTATGACCTTGCATCAAAAAGTTACAGGCATTTTTCTAGAAGTCCTAAAATCGAGTATTTCATATAGCGTTTAATACAGCGTTTTCAATACATAACAGTTACACCTAAAGTGCGCCCCAAGATTTTTAATAGCAGTTTGTCATAGTGAATTCATTCTTCTTTTGCTTAAAAGAGGAAAAGAAACTACATCGACTGACCGGCGTCGGCTTTTGAATTAGGCCCTAGTTTTTTGTCAAACTGAGGATTTTTAGAAAATCTAGAAGGCTTTGTCGGGTTTTGGAGATTGTTGATTACCCGGAAAACCAACAAAGGCTTAATTAAAAAATCGGTGCCGGTCAGTCCATGTAGTTAGGTGTCTAGTTTACAATAAATAACGTGAATCGCATCGATTCACTAAGTCCATTGCCTGTCAGTAAGGGGACACCTCCTATATCCTGATCGGGATATAGCTATATCCCGATCAGGATATAGAAAAAAAGTAGTATCCCGATCGGGATATAAAACACGAAATTTCGTCGTAAAAACGATTAAGGGGAA